CCTCCCGCCACTCCGCCCCGCAGTTACGCTCGTGACGTCGACCCCCCGCACTCCCCCGCCCTGACCTTCATCCGTGATGAGATGGGCCCCCTGGGCTACGCCCATCTGCTGGCCATCGGCTCGGTGGACGGCCTGGTGGAGGCCAGCAGGCAGTCGCGGGTGAGCTGGAGCGGCGTTTTGGATTTTCAGGGATTTTTTGCTGGCTTTCCTTGGATGGGCAGGACGAGCGGCTGGCAAGCCTGCTCGCCCCCCTAGGGGTGGAGGTTGTGGGGTGCAGGTTGTGGGGTGCTTGCTGCGGTGATCGACACCGCCTGCGTACTAAACTGTCCTGCGCCGCCACTATGCCAGCACCCTGTGTGCGGAGTGTGCACTCATATCTTGATGCTTGTAACCGCCAAACATCATCCACATATGGCCACCATCCCCTTGCCCAGAAGCCCCACACTCGCTCCCTCCAGCTCCCTGCTGGTCTCGCTCACACAAACGCGCACACGCTTATGCACACGCACGCGCCGGCTCAGGTGTGCGCCGGCACCGCCAACAGCATCCAGTGCGCCGTGTTCCGCGTGCTGTCTGAGGAGTATGGCGGCGGCCGCTACGCACGCAAGCACTCGACCTTCTACAGCGCCATGATGCAGGAGGCCGGGCTTGACACGCGTGAGGGGGTATATTCGGGGTTTGAGGTGGTCGAATCTATTGTTCACAACAATTTCAGTGCTGTGGGGGCGGGGGGTCCTGAGGAGGTTGACTCACCTGGGTGTGGGTGTTTGGGGCACGCACGAACACAGGAAGACAAAGCAGGTGGAAGGCGAATCGCCAGGGCAGCGGCCCTGCCCGCATGGCCGCTTGCTCCCCGGGCAAGCATATGCATGCTAGCCAGCTCCTTACCCCTTCACTCTTTGTCTGCTGGGCACTCACCTCTCCGCGTACCATTCCTCCCTGCGCATGCGGCTGGCCCCAGGGGAGGAGGCGTACCTTGATTTAGTGCCATGGCAGGTGGGGAGGGGGTCCACATTACATTTGACCCACCAGGGCGCACGCACGCTATGTATTGTGTACCTTTTTGCTGCAAATGGTGTGGTAGCTACATGCGAGGCGCTTGCTTTTGGCAGGCAACCCGGGCCCGTCCTCCGCCTACCCGCGCCCGCAGCTGCTGGCACGTGCTCGACCCCCGCCCTGTTGGGCCGTCCCTGCACCCAAACCGCCTCCCCCTTGCCCCGCCTGTGCAGGCGCTGGCCAACGCCAACAGCAACTTTTTGCTGACAGAGCGGCGCCGCCACTACCTGCGCTACCTGGGGGCACTCACCTTTTTTGAGATCAACGGCCCATCAGGTTGGTTGTGGATGTGCCGGCGGGGTGCGAGAGCGAGCGCGCTTGTGTGCTGCGCTTTCAATGTGGTAGTCGCGCTGTGCAGTGGGTGATTCGTGGAGAGTCGTTGGAAGGGAGTGGGTGCGGCGCAAGGGGTGTACGTCGAAGGCTGGCGCGCGTTGGTGCGCCGCTGGTATCGGACGGGCTTGTGGCCATGCACGTGCTCATGGCACCAGTCGCGGCTGGGTGAAACACGGGCGGGAAGCGTCCTGAGTGCAAACGAGACACTGCCGGCTGGCCCCCTGACCCCCCCCTAAACGCCGCAGTGTACAAGGCGTACCTTTCTGCGGGGCGCCGCTGCGGGCTGTCTGAGCGGGCGTGTGGCTACTGGTGTGTGCCTTGGACGACGGGTTATGTGTTTGTGCATTACTTCGGTGCTCAGGGCGGCAGCAGTACATTGTTGGTCGATTTTGATGTTCTCATATGTACATCTGACAATTGCTGCACACAGTGCGTTGGGTTGGCATCACACAGGGATTCGTACCATCATGGTTTGCGGGGGCACTGCAAGTACCGTTGTCTGGCATCAAAAACTGCATCCCCGTTCTGCCCTGTTTGCAACCGATTGAGCTGTTGCCCCTTGCACGCATGCCCCCGCCCCGTCAGGGAGCTGCACATCAAGGAGGACGAGCGCCACGGGCGGCAGATGCTGGACGAGGTGGCGCTGCCCCTGGCCGCAATGTGGGTGGCTGGAGGCATTCCTGTTGGGCTCTTGCCGCAATTTGGGCTTGTCGATGTCTGGACATGCCTCGATGCCCAAGCTTGCGTCACGACTCCGCTGTTTTCGACCAGCATTTGGCAGCCTGGACTGGGAATGTGGTGTGCCGAAGGTGGTTTCAATGGTTCCGACCTTGATGTTGTCTTAATTCAGGTTGCCTGGGACTGTTCACGCTAGAGAGGCTTCTAGAGCGACGTGCAGTCGATGTCAAAGAACGGTGCAACGGTTGCAGTGAACCAACACTCCACAACCCGTCCAACGTCCCTCCCACCCTGCACCCTTGCGGCTTCTCAGGTACCCCGACAATGCTGGGGAGGTGCTGCTGGGCTATGAGCAGGAGGTGGGCGGGTGGATCTGTGCAGGGGGATCATGCCTGGCCCTGAGGCTGCGTTGCGCCAGGGCACACGGTCCCGTCTGTGCCCTGAGCTGGCTTGTGTAGTGTCGTACCTTGGTGCTGCTTTGCCACGAGCAGCTGCCTGGTTCCATCTGCCTTCAGCAGGCACCTATTTCCACTTGCTGACTTCCAATCTTGATTGTGAACTTCTCTAATCTACTCTCACATGCTGAAACACGCAGGCTTTCCTGGGCGCACGTGCAGGCGCCGCGGTCACCGAGGCGATCCGCGCCGCCGAGGCGGCGGCAGAGCGGGCTGCCAGCGCTGGCCAGGTGTGATCAGGCAGAGGGCGCCACCTTCAGCGACGATGTTGCCACCAGCGGAGCTGGATTGTGTACGTTTGAGGTTACATGGAAAATTCCGCATGAACCTGGATTGTTTTCCAGTTGTAGCCGCTCAGTCAAATCAATAGATTGCTTGCTCTTTTAAATTTTTACATAGCAAGTGTAAATGAGAATACAAGGTGGCTGCTGGCAACGATGTTTCATTGAGATTCAGTCGGTTACCTCAAGCCGACCATGGCGCCGACAACACAAACTTGCTTAAGAACTCACCCAACACGACTGTTTGCATTGAGATGAAAGCAATGTGCCGTTGCGGCTATCAGGGGCAGTTTGGCACTGCTTACTGCAAGGCACCTATAGCACACGTAGCTCACAACTGCTTGATGTTCCATGCATTCAGCATCACGCGTGCCCTCACGCACCCTTGCTTGCCGCTTTGCCAGCGCGCCGCTTCCCGCCGCCATGGCTGGCGTTGGGTGCAGCCGCTGCAGGGCGCTTGCCGCCGCCCCGCTTCCCCGCGGCCCCCTCCTTGGTCCCCTTCTGACCTCTTCCATCAACATCAGCGCCGCCGCCGCCGCCGCCGCTGCCGCCACTGCCCCCGCCATTTGCTTTGAGATCGGCCAGGAAAAGGCAGCGCTCCGCCTCGACTGCTGTCCATGTGTCGTCGCCTGTCCATCGCACACACAGGCACGCGTTTCAGGCGCGCCACCAAACAGACGCCGGTGTTTTGAAGGGTGGGTGCAGGTGCACGCGATGCTGCCATTCGACATGGAGTCACCCAAGAGTGCGCCGGCGGTGCTTGAGCGCGCCAGCCACCTGAGATCTGCCGAATATCTTGCACAGCAGTGCATCTGCACCACAGCCTCCCGAATGCAGCGGCATGCAGTCAGTCGCTCTTCGCACCCCCACACTGCCCCCCAATCCGCAGCGCCTGCCCGCCCACCTGTCTGTGTCCGCAGCTCCCGCGCTTTGGCCACAAGCGCGTCCCGCAGCTGCCAGTATTCCTGTCGGGTGTGCGCAGCGCAAAGGGTGAGGACATGGCCAAGCCTTGGCAATTTCTTTAGAAGGTAAGCATGCGGCAAACGACGCCCAAATCAACTGGCAATGCGCACCACTTACATTGCTGATCGGCTGCACACACGAACGTGCCACCGACCCCGCAAGCGCACCTTGGGGGTGTATTTTGGCTTGCCGCCGCCAGCTGTCACAACCGCCATCAGCGCCTCGTCAGACATCGCCGGGCAGCTGCCGTCCGCGAGCAGCAGCACCATCGCCGCCGTCGCGGGGCCGATGCCCGGCAGCGAGGTCAGCGCCGCAAGCGCGCCCTGCGCGGCCTCCTGGCTCGCCTCGGCGGCCGCGTCTGACGCGCCGCCGGCGCCCGCGCCGGCGCTGCCCTTGGTCTCCAGGAGCACCTTGAAGGCGGCGGCGGTGGCGTCCTCGATCTGTTGGGGCTGCGAAAGGAAAGTGTGGTTGTGGGTGGGCGAGGCCAGGAGTCAGGAGATCCCTGTAGCGCCAGGCGTTCATCAAAGCTCTGATTTATATCTGAGTGGTAAAAAAACGAGCCAAATTCGTTGCGATGATACGTCATCCGGTTGCATCTGGCGTGCAGGCGTCCCAGCAAGCAACGCCGCCCCGCACCTTCAGAGCCTCTGCAAAGCGCATCAGCGGCCGCCACTTGCCGCGCGTGAGCTTCCTGGCGGTGGGGCCGCGGCGGTCGCAGCCGGCGGGGCTCTTGACGTTGCAGGCCATAGCTTGGTGCCTCGACTCTATCTGAGCGAACGGTATTGCGCCGGCCAGCAGGCAGCAGCTGCCGTTTTGCTAGGGTACTGAGCGTGTCGTTGCACCCCCAAGCGACACCCAGGGCACCCCCTGGCGCAGACCCATCATGCGGGCCTGGAGGGCCGGCGCGTCCTTATGCACTACGTGCGCACCATCTGACGAGCTTGACATACTCCTCCTTGGTCAGGTGCGGCGGCTCCCTGGCGCGCACCGCCGCACGAAGCTCGTCCCACGCCCAGGCCTCCAGATCCGCCAGCTCCGGCTTCTTGCCGTGCTCGCGCACAATCTCGTGCGCGCACGCGCGGACCGCGGCCCAATCCGGCGGTGCGCCGCTGCGCCACAGCTCGGAGGCCATGCCCCCAGGGCGCGGCGGGCGCGCGGCGAGCGCGTGGAGCGGCGTTCGCGTAGCGGACTGTGACGGGTGTCCACGGTTAGGCCAGAAGTCCAGCAATTGTTTAGCGTGTAGTGTGCATGTACAATCGGCTTTGAAGGATGAAAGGCGCGCGATCTCCACCTGGAAAGATCACGTCAGGGCAAATGCTTCACATGAGCTGCACTATGATACATCGAATACCGGTAGTATGGCGACATTCGACAGGGCCGTAGTATGAGAGCCTCGCAATGTGTTCTGCCATCGCCACACACCCAACTCCCAACTGCTCGTGCTGCGGTGGTGTCCACCTGTGCCAGCCAGCAGGTCCTGCACCCACCAGACCATTGAAACGAATCTTGCCTGTATTACGGTCTGTTTAACTAATGCATGGCGTCGCAGTACAAGGCACAACAGTCAAGCCCACTGCTGCTCCACCAAATCTGCCCATGCACCTTCCTCACCACCGCCAGGCGCCATGAGCGCAGCTTAGTCGCACTGTGGAATGGGTGGCACCCCTTCAGGCACACCATACTCACACGTGGTTTACAGCGTTTGTTGTGGTTGAGGTTTCATGCACTTGGCCCTGCGGCCATCGCCTTGTTGTGTGCAGCCGTTGATGGTCAAAAACGAGTGTTGTGTGAAAATCCCACGCAAGCAAGCTTCCAAAAAATGTTGCTGTTGTGCCCTGCCACCCGCTGAGCCCAGCACCGCCAAACCATGCGCAACGACGACAAAAGTAGGCAGCAACGGGAAGCTTCACCTGTCCAAACCAAAACGGGGAGGTTGGGGTGACCCAGCCGACGATGGCCGCATGTCTCGCATCGTCAGAATTTGCAAAATCAGCGGCATCCGCACCAAAAGTATGCGCAGTAACGGGCGGTGGCAGTGTCGAGCGCAGCGCACGCCCAGAGGGCTCGAGGGGGAGGACACGTCTTGCAGCGCCGCCAATTGCCGGCGCGCCTCTTCATCTGTCGCCACCCCACAGCTCAGTGGCGGGCATGCGGCCTGTCTCGGGACGGGTGATGCAGCGTGACACACAGTCCGTGCTTGATGCAGGTACTAATCAGCCCTGCTCGTTGTGGGTCGCCACGGCGTCCTGGGCAGAAGGCGGCCTGCGCAGGGCCAGACCGTCGAGGGGCCACCTGCGCCTGCTCACTTGCCAGCCGGCGCAGGCGTCTCCGGGGCGGTGGGCTCGGCGGGG